TTAGGTGACAGATAGTTACATAAAACTAATAGAATACTAAGCATACATATACATTCGAAAGAGGGTAGGTAGACAAATGTTCCTTGTTGACACATAATTTATTACTTAATTCTATCAATCCTTTTACTGTTTTTGCAATTATCTTCACAATTATCTTCATTTTTATCTTCATTTTACTTTTCTTCTGCAATGAAATAAATGCATGTTTAAGAATTTAGATTTGCTTAAACATTCTCTTATTTAATTAATGTGATGGTACTTTCACCGGCTTTTAATTGACTTTGCAAACTGATCACTTGTGAGGTTAAAATTCGTTGTGAAACATAATGACCCTGAAACATAATGACTAATGACCCGGAAGGGCTATGATTTCACCAAACTAGTGTATACCACACTTCATTCTAGGCAGAGTCATTGCGATCACCTAAGTGAGAAACCTAAGGGGGAGTGCAAATAAATAGGGAGGTAAATTTTGATGGGTGAAGTATTGGTTAGTTCTATAGTGACAGACTAGATTCTTATCAATTTGGCTTAAGGTTTAGTGCCCTGACGTTGGGATTCGACCATCATGGTGGCATGGGCTAGGGGCATCTAGAGATGAGAGGTTAGATAACACTGATGTGGAATCGAGATGTTAAGGAAACGACATTAAGTTAGTCAATGTTATTTGCTAGCACCAGAATGGGGTAAAGAATATGTATGCTCCTATTTGTCACTGAAAACATTATATTTTAAGCATTTATTCCTTCACATTATCTAGGTCATTACACGCAAAGGGTAGTCTTTAATATCTCAAAATTCTCCAAACCAATTTATTCTGAAATTTTATCTTTATATCTAAAAAAGTTATCTTTGGATTTAATATTTTTATCTAGGAAAAGTTATTAGAAAAATCATCTTAATCGGTCTTCCAAACTAAGGTCTGATAATAGTAAACTAGAATTATCCTAAGGGATTTCTTACCTTAATTCTCTGTGGGATCGATACTTGGGGTCTTTAAAAAAACATATATTACTTGAAACGATGTGTACTTGCGCAGAACCCCTAATGTGTGAAATATAAATCAAATTCTAAATTTAATAAAATATTATTTTACATATTAGCGGGTTAAATATAAATTGGGTCAATTTTTTTACCATATTTCGGAGCTTAAAAATCTACATAATGGCGGGTCGGGTCAAGGATAAAGAGATAGAGAAGAGTGGTCTCATCCACAAAAAAAAAAAAGAAAAAAAAAAAAAAAAAAAAAAAAAATTTTTTCGGTGCTTACAAGTGCTATAATTTGGTTTGTTCAAGAAAGAAGAACACTAAGCCCCATCTTTGTACTTCGTGGCTACATTTTGTCTCATTGATGGCACTTAATTGACAATACTTACTACAATCACAAGCCAACATATACAAGTCATCTTACTTTCAACTAAAATGTCTCTAATTCAGGTTTTGGATATCAAAAGTGCATGTCTTTACAACTTTAATCAACCAAGTTGCAGCCTTTTATTCAACCAATGGATTCATATGATTTTTTTAGTATTTTTTAAGGTTTTTTTTTTTTAAATTTGAGCACATAACAAAGTATATTTTATAGTGCCATCTATACGTTAGCATTAAAGTTTAAGAAGAATGGAATGATGTTGTCATCGGGCACTAGTTGGTTAAGATCAGATCAACATACTTTAATTTGATTAATGAGGTGATATCTTACGATTTATGTTTAATTTATTTGTATTAATTTTGCATTTCATTATAATTAAGAGGCTCACTTCTATGACTGAGAATGTGATGTAATAATCTTGGGATGACATAATGAAATTAGATCACTTTCTTCTTATAAATCAAGATGAGCAATTGTTAAGGCAGAATAATAATGAAAATTTATGATAAACTAGCAAACCATTCATGGTTGAAAACTACAACAATGTCAAGTTATGATTTGAGAAATCAAGTTATAATATTGTGTTGATTAAAATTTGGAACATGGTTTTAAAAATCGAACTTGACCGACAAGTTCGACCGATTCTATTATGATCTGGTCTTTTGATCTGTTCTGCAATGAACCAACCATTCTATAGGTTTAGTTCAAGCCCAAAACCATTTTTGCACAGGATAAGGAATGAATTAGCTAAAATTTGGGTAAAACTAGCGAGTTAGTCTTGTTTTTAATGAGCCGGATGATTTTAATATTGTCTAATTTTGTCTTTTGTTATTGATCGGATGGCTAGAAAGAAAAAAATTAAATTAAAAGTTAAAAAAATGTCAACTTTCAAAATTTTGATTTAGAGTTTTTTGAAATATTCAAAAGTGGAGTATATTAAATTAAAATATTATTTATTGAATCCATAAAATCATTATATTATTTAAATTATATTAAATGATTTTAGTTGAATGATTGAATCTTGAACATCTTCTTGTATGGTTTTCAAATCAATAATAAAAAAACATTTTTTTTATTCAAAACTAGGATTGTAATGAACCGGTGCACTTGATGAACAACTCGAACTCCACTCGATTAATACTCGATCATGTTTGTTCAAATTAGTCAATAAGCAATTTTAACCTTTTTTTTAAACTTGAATATAAAATAAATCAAATTTGAACATAGTCTATATCGCTAGTTAATGTTCAAGAAAGGGCTTGTTTGTTGTTCAGCAAATAGTTTATCAAATGCTCTATATACTTATGTTACGTGTCAGAAGATTCACGACTGTAGAATAATGAATTCACATCTCAGTGTATGACAAAGATCCAACATACATACAAAGAAAAGAGTAACAAGAAAAAGAATACAACTTGAATTTTTATGTGAAAAATCTTGGAAAGGAAAAAAACTATGGTGTCTAGCTCAATTAAAATAATATACTATATAATTATAACGATATAGATTACACCTCTCCTGAATTCGAAAAAGAATTATAAAGTTGATGTATAATAGTAGTTCATTAATATAGATGTAACGAACCGCAAAGACTGTAGTCAATTGCTATGAATGCATCATGGACAGTTACTATAACATCAATTTGTTGTAGAAATCGTAGTTCAAAATTGTGATTTTATATAGTCATGTTGATTCTAGATAGTTGTTTCAGAAGCATTAATTAGTCATAAAGTTCATAATAGGGAACTACGTAAGTTGTGAGCCATATAAATGTTGGATAGGCACCTATATTAACGGATGCACACTTATATTCACGCTTATAAATGTTCACGGATGCACGCTTATATTAGCTTTGTGCAACTTGTTTTGTGCGAGTGTAACAAATGTTATTATTATTATTATTATTATTATTATCTTTATATATATATATATATTAATTTACTGCAAGTTTGTGCTTGAATTGCTTTCGCTTCTTGCCAACACAAATTAGCGTCGCCAAATGATGGCGTTAAGTCCGCATATCATAAAATTGGATGCTTGTTCGCTAATTAAATTTGGATGTCCACAAGAATATCATTAGGACATCCTAATGAGACATTTTAGACACAAATCTAACACAATAAATTATGTCTTCCGATATCTCGACGCCAAATGCCTTTGCCACCCTAAACTTTCACGTCAAACATTTTTTTAACATAAATCTGTCGATAATTGATTTTGTATCAGATTTTTGTCCTATTATCGGCAAAATTATTATAGTGTTTGCTTCTTTTGTATGTGGATGAAATGTTGATTGCAGAAACATATATGAAGAAAATTAAGAACTTAAGTTTGAGATGGAGTTAGATCCATCAAAGATCCTCGTGATGAGAACTAGTAGGAACTGAAGCTCGGGTACAATTAAGTTGTCTTTGACATAGTATGTTGAAAATGTCCTATAGAACTTCAGCATGAGAGGGGCAAAATCAATTTACACCTATTTTGATAGTGATTTAAACTATCTAATGAACTATCCCCTCAATCTTAAGGAAAGCAAGCAAAGATGGGAAGAATTCAGTATGTTTTAATAATTGGAAGTTCGATGTATGTTATGATATGTATTAGATCATATATTATATAGTGAGAGTGATCGGCATGTACATGGGCAATCTAGGCAAGCATATTAAGTGATGGTGATGCACTTTGTCGTGAACGTGTAGAGATTGATCTACACGGATATATAAATTCAGATCTGACATGAGATATTGATGGTAAAAGAAGTACAATAAGATATAGTTTCACTTTGAGTTTCTAAGCTGCAGAAAATTGTTGTACTTTCAACCACAGAACCCACATACATTGGTATCACTGAAGCTAACAAAGAGATAATTGGGTTGCAGAACGTTTACGTCCAAACTGGACAAAATGCAAAAAATTAAAAAACTACATAATAACAATATGAGTGGTATTTATCTAGTTAAGAATATTGTTTTTCATGTTATGATAAAATAATATATGAAGTGATAAATTATTTTATTCATTCTCTCCTAAAAGAAGAGTAATTGTTCTTTGAGAGAAGATGTACAATGCTCAGAATCTTATAGATATGTTGACTAAGGTGATAACTGTTCAGAAACTAAAACTCTGCTTGACTTTAATGAGTCTTACATACTTAGATTAGAAAACATCCTTAATCAATACTGAAGACCGCAAGAATAAACAAAGCGATTTGAGTTTAACATCTGAAAGAGAAGAACGATCAGTAAACAGATTAAGATGAAGAAAGAAAAACTATCAATATAAATTGAGTAATATTTTCCCAAAATTTGATTCAAAGTTCCATCTAAATTGGACTAGCTGTCTGATAATTGTAACATTAACCTTGGATTAGAACAAATTAAATTTTTAACTGAAGACAAGAACAACAGAGGGAGCCTTAAACAGGATTTAGCTTAAATTTTCACGATTTAGCACTCCTAAAACTTGTTAAATCCTAACTCAAATATTCACATCAACAAAGAGATTACAAACTTAGCACGAATTTCAGAACAATTAAAACATTCAAAAGAAAAAAAAAAGATCAATATATTCACCAAAAAAGAAAAAAACTGGAGTGTTTTTCCACTTTCAAGAGAAAAAAAACTAGATAATAATATGTCAAACGAAAGAGAACACCAATCAAACATTTAGATCAAGTAATACAGGCAAAGGCTCTGGAATCCCAGATCCAGAACTGGTCAACTCTTCTGTTCTTCTCTGTGATTTGCATTGAGAAGTCTGAGCTCTCTCATCTTCTTCAATCTTCTCTGGCCTTTCATTGAAGAAGCTGTGAAGGGAGATTGGCTTCTGGTTTCCTCCTTTATCAAACTCCACAAATCTTTCCGATCGCAAATCTGAATCCAAAGCAAGGTAATTCTGAAAAATCAAGCCTGATGTTCCTGAGCTTGAGGCTTGCTCAAGTCCATGAAAATACCTGTTTAATTCTTCATTAGAAACACAGAGAAAGAAATAGAAAGAGAAACAATAACTTAATGAGGATTCATCAGCCTAATTTAGCTCAAAATATGTAAGAAAGTTCCTTTTATTTTACATTTTCTAAGAAAATTCAAAAATATAACCTTTTTACATATCATTGAGCAAATTAACAAAAAAAAAACTATGGTCCAGATTAAATATCTGCTAAATTAGCAATAATAAGAACCGAAGATTCTTTCCCTTGAACTCACCTGGGCTCGTTACAGGCTGCATCTTTGCTTGTGTTGATAGAAGGAAAAAGAGGAAGGGGAGAGCAAGAAAGAACTGAAGCAGAATTTTCATTCTTAAGAGAAGCCGCTGCATGCTTCCTTAAGCGATTCTTTCCTCTATGAAGATGCCTTTCACAGTACTTAGAATCTGGACAAGCCATTCTCGAGCACCTCCATTTCTTACCATCAGTTCTCCTACACCTCCCTGGCTCTGGATCCTCTGCTCTCCCACTTGATCCCAACTGAAAACAACCCCATCCCACTGCAATAATCAAACTCACTCTAATCAATTTCATAAAAAAAATGAAAGAAATAAGAACTCATAAGAAACTTACAAGGAGAGTAAGGTGGGAAAAACCCAAGCTTTGGTTGAGAGTATCTGTTTCTTCTTAGATGGAGAAGAAGATGAGTAGGGATTGGCATTCCCAATGACATGCAGTTGAAGATAATAGCTTGTTCCTCCAGTTCTTGCCACTGAGAAGGAGAGAAGGGATGAACAGACTTCCCCGTCATGACATTACCATTTCTCCATCCAGCTTCCATCACTCTTCCTCTTCCTCTTCCTCTTCCGCTGAGCTAATCTGTATCAAAAAAAGGGAAAGCTTGCTGTTTGAGGCTAGCTTTGTAAGCCAAATAGCAGTCTTTGCGGGTTGAAAGTGGGAACAGGCTTTTCTCTTTTGTTGACATAAAGTAAGGTGAGAACTGCAGGTGCAGAGGAAGTGTCACTCAATAAGGGAGCAGAGAGTGGGCTGCAGAATCTTCTTTTGTAGGGTGTATGGATGGATGGATCATGAACTGAAACCAGAGTGCTGTTCAGCTTTAACTTCATATGCCTGGAACCTTTCATAAATGCACGCTGCTTTTGCCAGAAAAGTGTGGGCTAGATTCAAATTTTTTTTTATAATGAAATTGGTATTAAAAAAATATTTTTATACTTTCAGAATAGATTTGACAGAGTTTTTCTGTCACAAAATTTCATTTTTATTTTTCTTATTTATGTTTACTGTTATTCTGTAATTAGTGTTTTAAGAAAGCAATTTATTATCGAACTTTTTGAGTGTTTTAGTCGAATCTGAAAGCTTAAACATCCATTATAACGATTCAGGCTAATGTGAAATTATACATATAATCTGCATTTAAATAATTAATGTAATTCAGAAGAGTTCGGTGTGGATTTATCGGTAATGTGCAGAAAACTTCTTTTTAAACTAAAGTGTCAGAACTGTGCAGGTTAGGCTTGAAGGCTGTAACAGTGGTCTGCTGGCCTTATCACTTACAGAGCAGTAGCAGCAGTCTGGCTTTTGCTGCTGCTGTCTCAGGTCATAGCGTCAGAATCAAACTGTAGATAGCTTTCTCAGCTGGCTTTTGTTTGTCAAGGGACCAAAAAGTGTCATTTTTGCTCTCTTTTTTTAATTTATTATTAGAAATTTGTTAACAAATCAAGTAAAAATAATAATAATAATAACAAATGTTGAAAGAGAAACAAAAGTAAAATAAGTGCATTATTCATGATTTAGTAGATGATGATGTAATTTTTTATTTTATGATTATGAGTTTGAATCACACATATTTCTCTTCGGACTCATCTGCCCCCTCTCCCAAAAAAAAATATATATAATTATAAACAAGTTACATATACATTACTCAATTCTTATGAATTTATATATCGCTTAGTTACATGCAGAGCATTCAATCCATTATTATTAGTTATACATTTAATGGTCAAATCCTACTTCTCATCGATTAAGTTTTATGCGTGTAAATATAAAATTTTAGGTGTGAGATACTTAAATCCTTAGGAATTGTGTGCCACATACATAAAATTCCCTAAAATAAAGTCAAAAGAAAATGAAATAAGGTCTATATGTGAGCTCAGATTTACATGCAGAGCAGTCAATCCATTATCATTGTTGTGAGATATGTACTTCTTGGCATAGAAATGAAACGCAAAGAACACAAGCGAACACAAATCGTTTACGTGGTTCGATTCAACTGGATCTACGTCCACGGGAGGAATCAATCAAATAGTTTACTAAGGCAAAAGAAATAGAGAATTCATAGCTTATACATAGAGATGAGCCCTCATCTTCCTTCTATGGCCTCCCTCTCAAGCAACACCTTGATACAAGACCTCAAGATGCTCTCATCCTCTCTTGCTCTCTAGTTATTCTCCCCTCCTTTGTGGTAGCTTAAGATCTTTTCTCTTGCTCTCCTAAGCCTCACACTCTCTCTACTTATAGAAGCAAGAGAGTGGTAGGTGGGAGGTAGGTGAGCGGTAAGTGAGCGGTATGTGAGATGTCGTAGGTGAGCGATACCACATTACAAAAGTGTCATTTTACCTTAGTTCAATAATTGAGGGTCAAAATAACAATTCTCCACCTTGACCCTCAATTGAGAAGCTTCGAAGTAAAGATTCCCTCCACCTGGCCCCTGAGAGGCCCTCAGCCCTTGCTTGAGTTTGCTAAGTCCAAACAATACATGAACTTAACAATCACGGTTCTTCTGATAAGAGAGTACAGCCCATTTTTCCTAACTCCTTGTATGACGACACGAGGGCCTTTGGTTACTCTGATGCAACAATTCTCTGCCTTGAATGAGCATCCACTTGACTCCAGCGTACCTAAAGAAATCAAATTTCTTTTGAGCTCTGGTACGTACCTGACATTTTTCAGTACTCGTTCAACTCCATCAAACATAATTATCCTAATTGATCCACTTCCAACAACCCTGTGAGTTTTATTGTCTCCCAGTAGAACGGACCCATTATTTTCCTGTTGCAGTGTCTCTAACCAGTCTTTGTGAGGACACATGTGGAAAGAACATCTTGAGTCGAGGATTCACTTCTTACTGGATTCAGATCTGTGATCACTAGGGCCTCAGCATAATCATTGTCATCAGAGGCTACGCTTGATTCTCCTGATTCTTCTGGCTTTTCTCGGTACTTATTCTTCCTATCTGGGTAGTTCCTCTTGAAATGACCGTCTTTGTGACAATGATAGCACTTGAAAGATCCCATTGATGACTGATTCCCGCCATATTCCCGCCATCCTTTCCCGCCATCCTTGCTTGAACTTGATCTGTACTGACAATTTCTTGAATCTTTCCTATCTGATATTCCTCTAACAATAAGACTGTCTCCGCTGACATCCTTGTCCCTGTCATACTTCCTCTGAAGTTCTTTGGCTCTAATCAGAGCTCTAATCAGAGATTAATCAGAGATTGAACCTCTTCCAGAGTAATAGTCTGCACCCTTCCATAGAGCATCGCATCCTTAAAATGCTCTTAGCTCTTAGGAATAGAGTTTAGCAATAACAGTGCCTTGTCGTTATCGTTCATCTTGACGTCGATGTTCTCAAGGTCATCAATGATCTTGTTGAACTCGTCGATCTGCTCTGAGGCAGATTTGTCTTCATGCATTTTGAAGGAGTATAGACGCTGCTTCAAAAAGAGCCTATTAGCCAGAGACATTGTCAGGTAGAGTACCTCAACTTTGGCCCAAAGTGCTTAAGTCGTTGTCTCCCTCGACACCTCCCTTAGAACTTTGTCGCCCAAGCTCAGGATTATCAAACTGTGGGTTTTGTCCAGTATGTCGATCTTCTCCTTCTCGGTCATGTCGGCCGGCAATGCCGCCGACCCTTGCAAGGCTTCTGCAACACCCTGCTGACCCAATAAAGCTCTCATTTTTACTCTCTCGAAGTCGTTCTTCCTGTTGAATTTCTCAATGTCAAATTTGGCGGAACTCATTGTCGTGCCTAGGATTTCTTCCAATGAATTCTACATGCTGCCCTTCCAAGAACTAGGCTGAAATCACCAAAATGTTGTACTTCTCCCCGTGAACTCCACTGCCTTCGCCAACCAAACGGAGAGCTCTGATCCCTTATCACACCTGTTCATTGGAGAAAACTTCTTGTTATGTGCTCTCGCCTCCTTCCCGCAAGCACTCCTCTACGTCAAGCGGAACAAATTAGGAATTCCTCCTCTGCCTCTCGCACGAGAATAACTGCCTCTCGAGAGTCGTTGCGCCTCGCCAAACTGCTCAAGTCCTCCTGCTTCGCGAACTCCCAAACAGGGAACTCCCCGAACCATTTTCTGTGTGATCTACGCCTCTTCCCTTTGGTCGAGCTGCTTGCAAGACCGAACTCCTGCTCTGAAATCCTCTGCTGGCAGCCCTGTTGTAAATTTTTGGCCCTCGCTCACGGACTGTTCCTCCTCCGTCTCGCCGAACCGCACAACCTGCGGTGCAAATCCACTCGATCACAGCTCTC